TCTCTCTTGCATTTTCTCTTCTTCATCGTCTGCAATACTCTCACCTTTTTGTATCTCCTAATCTCTGTCTACCCTTAACCGTCACATATCACTCGTTCATAATTGCCGTTTTTTCTTTTCCTCAATCAGCATTCTTCTGCTTTTACCGTGATCCGTGTGATCCGGCGCCAGCAAATCTTGGCCCAAAATAGCTTAGAGTTTCCGGACGATAAATAGAGAAGACCAGCAGGCTAAAGAGCAAAAGAATGAAAGATTCCGAATATTGAGATACAAAAATAGCTGTCCTCTTTAGACGCGCTGCCGGAATATGCCAAAGAATGCTGTGAAAATCTGATGGCATGGTGAATAAGGGGCAATCTTTCATTAAGTCACAAGGCTTTTACATCTTTTTTGTCGGTGTCTATGCTTGCAAGCGCCAGGGCCTGTGCTGCTATGCCGGTGTGTTAAGTTGTCTAAATTGATGCGTAACATCCATGTGTGTATGCGTGTAGTCAGCAACCGGGGTGCGAGAATAGGTTCTCGTGACTCTCAAGACAATCTACTTAAACTTGCATGATTGATCTGTCTACACAATTGTAAAAACAATTTCTATATTTATGCATATAGGTAAATATATATAAATATAAATATATATATGAGTACATATGGTAAATACTGAGAGTCATTAGTCAAGCGAGTGCCATAAACTGTCAGAAAAATCCCATAGACTCGTGTTTGAGCAAGTAGTTGGGGCAATAAAGAGTGACGGAAGAGGAAGGAGGTTTGGAAGAATTGGCAAAGGAATGCCTGCTGCCATTGGTTGTCATGACAGGAAGATTTGACACAAATCTGATAATGGCATCATAACTGCTGTAAGGGGCTAGGCGCAGGCTTATGAGCACTTGCTAGGCTGATGCTGCTTTTGTAGGCCAAAGTTATATGCTTGGAACACAGTCGAGCCAACGCAACCAAGTGTACGAATCATCTTCACTCACTCTAAAAACTGTTCAAGTGAAAACCTCGCAAGTTCATTAAAGTGTAACAATTCAAGTCATTCCACTGCAAAGGCGCACATGATCCAAGCAATAGGTTCCAGTCAGATTCTGATATGTACTAAAGAACTACATGTTTGGCCTATCGTTAAAGGTGTAGATTTCTCGGAGTAACTTCCAC